TTTTTGTGATATCACTTTAAGTGGTCGTTTTGAGGAAGTGCTGAGTCGCTGAAGACATGATTCAGCAGGACAGAAAGTCCCTCTGCTGCTACAGCAAACAGTCGAAATCATCTAGTTTCTGTTTTTCTCTTTCAGAGGCCTGAAAAACTCTAGCTCAGTGCCTGTTGATCTAATCAGCCTGGGAAGTAAAGAATGTTATTGCTCAAAAGTTTCACGTTAATAGCTCAGAAGACTTGTCTTAGATGTTTCTCTTCAAATTCTAAGAATAAACACAAATGAGACAATTGTTGACAAACAGTGAGAGCTTAGAGCTGTAAAATTATTGTTAATACCAAGATCATTTGGTCTTCGAAGAATTGATGAGAAATAAATAACATAAATAAATAAAGATATTTAAAAAAAATAATAATAATTTATAGATGCCAAGGTTGTTTTGCCTGCTAAGAATTTGATGAGAAATGTTTGATTTTTAATTAAATAAAATTGATATAAATATTTATTTTAATGAATGAATATATTTAAATAAAAATATAGATATCAAGATTGTTTGAACTTCTAAGAATTTGTTTTGTTTTATTAAAATAAAATAAATATTTATTTAATGAAATTAAATATGAAAATAAATAATTTATAGATTATTAAATAATTTATTAGAAAATTTATAGAATACCAAGATTATGTTGCCTTGTAAGAATTTGATGAGTTCCCATTCAGTCAGTCACGTTCAACGTTACGTCAGTGACTGACGAATTGGGATCTCGCCCGAGAGCCCAATCACCTTCGAGTGTTAACTAAACAAGCCAATGACAGTTGGCGTGCGTGCTTCGCCACGCGCACCCCGCCCCGCAGCGCGGGTATAAAAGGAGAGCGCGTGCAAACGCACATCAGCTTTTCGCTTCGGAGCCGAGCATTCTACAGGACGAATCTCCGCGAGTGTTCGAGAGAAACAGCTGGCGTTGGTGTAACGGCGTATCAGCGGGGGTTGCCATCCAGGCTGCTGAAACCACAGCGGGGTGCAGCTCTCTTTCTGCGGTCTCGCAGCGCCCTCCACTGGGCGCTTCAGCGCTCTGACTAAAAGAGTGTTTTTTTCCATTTCTAAAAGAGCAAATTCCAAAAGAGCTCCACGAGCGACGGGCGTCTTTTTAAAGATGGCTTCCCGCTCGTGCGTTTCTGGATGCGGTCGTTTCCTGCCTTCATCTGACGGTCATGATCACTGCCTCTCGTGCTTGAGCTTACAGCACGCTGAAGCAGCGCTCATGGATGAGTCATGTTCTCACTGCGTTAGTTAACACTCGAAGGTGATTGGGCTCTCGGGCGAGATCCCAATTCGTCAGTCACTGACGTAACGTCTCCGTTCCCTCCTTCAGGGAACGAGGGTTACACAAGTAACCTAGACGTTATGTTAGTTTTAATGAAATAAAATAAGTAAAATCAATATAAATATTTATTTTAATAAATAAAATATTTGAAAATTTTAAATAAATACATGTAAAAAATAAATAAATAATTACATAAATAACAGATAACAAGATTATTCGGCCTTGTAAGAATTTGAAGAGAAATGTTTGAGTTTTAATAAAATAAATAAAATAATTAAGTATAAATATCAATTGAAATAAATAAAAAAATTTAAATAAAGAGTTTATTGATACCAATGTAATTTGGTCTGATCTTGATGATAAATGTTTGAGTTTTAATGAAATGAGATAAATAAATATTTGAACAAACAAACAAATAATTGATTGTTTGATACCAAGATAATTTGATCCTATAAGTATTTGATGAGACATTTTTGGGGTTTAAAATTTTTTAAATTCTTAAATAATTTAACAAAAAAGAATAATACTATAGTTTACATTTTTGTTACTTATGATACTGTTTATAATATAGACACTATTATATGTTAGAGGTGAATTTGTTATATTTGTAGTAAATGAATGGCCGCGCAGCACCTTGTTGACCAAAACAACAACTTTCCCCGGTTGTCCCATCTGCTTCCTCCTCTCCAAATGTTCCTTAGTGATATACACAGCAACTCTGGTTTTCCCACTTCCTGTTGGGAGGCAGATGATGATGTTCTTTTCCTCCAGAGCTGGTCTCGCCACCTCCATCTGATAGTCACGCAGTACAATATCCCTCTTGCGTTCCTCTGAGGAAGAGAGAAAGAGAGGTGATCCTGTAATCAGACAGTTGTGTTTGCCTGCAGCATCAGTGCAGAGGAGGTCGTGTGTCTCGGTGGTTCAGCTATTGCAATTACAGCTGTGTTTTCTTTATCCCCTGCTAGTTAGAATAGCATTGCTGTTCATGAAGTCACCCACTCTAAAGCTCTGTAAGCCTGCTGTGAGTCTCACAAAACCTGAGAACATGTATAGGCAATATTTACCCTCAAAATCTAAATAATAATAATTTTTTTTTTATATATATAATGAAATTAAGTAAATGTTTCTGTCAGGATCACTATCGTCAAAGATGATTGACAGTTAGCATACAGTTTGGATTGGTGGTATGATTCTGTTCTAGGCAAGAACTCCCTGTGCATCCATGCAGCCTAGCATGGATGAGAGCATGGAGAGCAGCGATACCCTCCCCCCCAGGGTAAACAGTAAACACATTTTAGAATTAGTCTGATTCAAAGGAGAATCAGAAGGCTGAATCCTGACTGACAGAGGAGGAGCTGGGGATGGAGAAGGGTAATTAGCTATTGAGCAATGTGAAAACTGCTGCTAATACTGAGGGACCTTATATATGAATGCTTAGATAGGTGTCGTATTCCCATAGGTAGATGGAGATCAGCTGAGAGTCAGCTGATGCGAGCTTGACTAACGTGACCTGCCAGAACTAACGTTTACGCTTGATTTAGTTTAATCTTACTTTTTGCTCATCATAACTGCAATGTGAGGAAGTTTATTTTATTTGATATAATAATTATATAATTTTATCTTATTCAAATATTTGATTAAAAGTGTTTATATGTGTCTTTATTACGGCTTCTATTTATATTTTACTGCTTCTATATTATATTTAAAGTGTGAAGTATACTTAAATTGTGTTTCCTTGGTGTGGAAACATTGTGCTCTGCCAATATTAAATATGTGTTTAGTCTGTCATTTATGCCTAAATTTGAGTAAAATGTAAAAGTGTTACATAATTAAGGCATTACAGTATTAAGAATCTAATGAAAATCATTAGGAAACCATTTAGAAAATAATCATAATTATTAAAACTCAAAATGAAAACACACCGATGCATTACTGTAATTAATTGTAAATATGCTTAATTGTATCATCACAGTGCAAATATGTGATTTCAAATATTTTTGATTATTTTACAGTAATATTTTACAATAAAATATATTTTAAAATATTTGATAATTAATTTGTGAAATATTGAATGAAGTACTTTGTTTAATATAAAGCTTTGAAAAAAACGGCTAATTACTGTAAACAACATTTTTCTTTACCCACACAATATTTTTCTTTAGATTTTGTGATGAAATGTGACCTTAATAATTTTTTTTGGTGAGATTCCCCATGTAAACATGATTTCATAGCCTCTAGCTCTCTGTAGTATTTAGACCGATCGAATGAATGAAAGTGGAAATTCCACATTATCCAAACACAAGGATGCAGATCTACACATCTACACATCTGTACGTGGTTTCACTTACAGAAAGGCAAAATTCAAAATAGGGTTATTAAAAGAGCCCATTTTGCTTCGGTCTGGGAGAACAATTACCCTAAAAACACACAAGCTGAGACTGAGCTTTTGGCAGATGAGCCGCTGAAGCAGGTCTGAGTGTTTTCATTCACGTGGCTTCATGTGGAAACTCAATGTTCTCTGCCAATATCAAACATTTGTTTAGTCTGTCAGCATCATCAGTCCAATTACAGAGCTTCAAACTTCAGTAGTGAATGCGGCTCATGCCATCCAAGATATAGATGAGTTTGTTTCTTCATCAGAACTGATTTGGAGAAATGTAGCATTGCAATCACTTGCTGACCAACGGCTCTGCAGTGAATGGGTGCCGTCAGAATGAGAGTCCAAACAGCTGATAAATACATCACAATAATCCACAGCACTCCAGTCCATCAATTGACCGTTCGCAAAGAGCTTGATTGACAGGCGATCTGACCAATCATAACGCAGAATCTGCTATCTTGTCCGACAGTGCTTTCACACTTGGTTCGCTTGCCTGGTCCGAATCCGAATTCGATTGCTCCCCCCTCCCCCTGCCCCCACTGGACTGCGTTCATATTATTTTATTTGGGTCGGAACCGCGGTTCGTTTGAGTCATCAAGCCAGCAGCTGTTTACCCCGTTGCTTAGTAACGACGGCGCAGGAGAAGGCGGCAAATGCATAACATTGCTCTTTGCACTTTTATACATTTATGTTTTAAAAACGTTCGTTTTGTTTACAAAGCTTCGGTACATAACGGCACTTACATCTGTCTTACGAATGTACTGCAAATGCTCTAAAGAACGCTGAAGGCGAACAGAAATGAGACCTACAGCTCTCTGTTTGCAGCGTATCAGGAAAGTGAGTGAAACACAAACACACATTTTTATCAAATAATACGTTATTAATAGCTGTTCACTTCCGCAATTTGGTACGATTGCGTTCACATCAGCAGCGAACCGTACCGGAGTTCACATGAACCGTACCCCAGACCACCCTTTTTTAGCGGACTCTGGTACGGATCGCGGGTGCGCACCCGAGTTCGGAAGACAGCGTTCACATCATCCAAATGAACCGAACTCTGACGTCAGTCGAACCCGGGTGCGCACCAAAAGTGCTAGTGTGAAAGCACCCTAAACTTGAAAAACTTTCAGTGGTTGAAATAAAATACATTCTGATGTTCATTCAGTCTTATTTCGTGCTTTAAGTAAATATGAAAAGAGATCAGTTCACGTGTGCTGCTTGAACTGAGGCGATACAGGGATCTTTTGCGACACATTATTTATTGTTTGAATTTCTTAAATTACAAAATTGGTCGTTGTGTTGTCAGTTTCCTCTTTGCTCAGCAATGTATTTTTCACTGCATGTGAACATGATGTGTAATGTGAGAGCGGCATTGTTTGTCGGACACAGTGGCGGCTCGTCAGTGGAGACACAGCTTCCCCATAATTTTGAGGTGAAAATGAGGACGATTTAATGTTAATAAAATTCACAATTCCTTTAAGTTCATGTCTCAGAATGTGTATTTTTTGTTTGTAATTTCACAGTTGTAATACCATAACGTGAAAGCGCCGCTTTTCTATCGCGAATGTGCCGAATCTGCTGATGTAATTACAACCGCTAGGTGATAGAGAAGGGGAGGGGGAGGCCGGGGGAGCGCTGAGCTGTCGTGCCTCCGTTGGTAAAAAACATTTAGCCAATCACCATCGAGTGTTCACTTTCAGTGCTGAGGAGCGTTGAGAAAAGAAACCTTGTATGGGAGGCTAGCCTCCCTTCTGATATCAACCAAGCATCACAGAGACATAAATTACGTGATATTAGTTTGAACGTCTGCCGCTGCACTGATAATGTACCAAGTACTTATGATGAGTAGCGATATTGAATATTTGATTGCCAACAGATTTACCAAGCTGTCATTCAAACAGTAAATTATATTATCTTGCTGTATGCATGTCGTTTTCTTTACGTTTTCTGACTAAAAGCAACCAAAAAGCCATTTAAAAGTGGTTTAGCAAATAATAATAATAATAATAATAGTAATAATAATAATAATAATCGGCAGGGATCCCAGACCAATACAATTAGTGTGCCTCCTCTATTTTAAAACCCAAGAGCCGCCACTGGTCGGACATAGCAAAAGTAACTAACGAGGGCGGGTTTTTGCGAAGGGTTAATTAGCATCTTGTGGAGCCTAAAAGAGAAATTTGTAAGAAACAAATCCGTCATTAAGGCGTTTTAACTTCAAACTGTTGCATTCGGCTAAAATATAAGTCTATAATCCACAATATTGCTTTCTCCAGTGAAGTTGTCTTATGTGAATCAGGAGAGATATCTACACAGATCAAGCACCGTTTACAAGCCAAATATGTTGGTGGATTTGGTGTGATGTTTATGTGAGAGGACAACAGGGGATGAACTTTTTAATTGGAGGAAGCGTTATTATGGATTTTGGACTCATATTATGGCCAGAAGCAGTGGTTTGAAATTAAAAATGATGATGGATTTGTTTCTTACAAACACACAGCTTTTGGCTTCTCAAGACATTAACTGATGGACTGGAGTGGTGTGGATTATTGTGATGTTTTTATCAGCTGTTTAGACTCTCATTCTGACGGCACCCATTCACTGCAGAGGATCCATTGGTGAGCAAATGATGGAATGCTACATTTCTTCAAATCTGTTCCCATAGAGAAACAAACTCATCTTGGATGGCCTGAGGGTGAGGACACTTTAAGCCAATTACTCTTTGTCTAGTAGAAAGGAGAAAATATGAATGAAATCTCCATTGTGATTTCTCTTTCCTATTGGTCGTGTCCTCCCTGATTGTGTCTTCATGAAGTAATGCAGTGGACTGGTGGATCTCCACCCTCTTTCACTGTCAGCATATGGAACATGCTCTCAAAACTAATGTGCCTGAGGGTCATCGAGGAGATTCATGTCTCTATCATCCATTTGCAGTCTAATGCACTTAACCACTTAACGCATGTGATTTTTACTGGTCTTGTAAACCTGCCATAGTGGTTTTCTGAATCGACGTCAGTTGGTGTGACTCCTTTTTTCTGTGCTAACAGGAAACTCGGACTGTTTATAATTCTCTGACAATATGACATTCCTAGAGAAGCCATCGATCTGGATGAGCTGTTTATGAACAAGTGCAATAGCTGATGGTTATGTTAACAGCATTTTTGGCAGAAGGATAGAATGCACTAAACAAATAATAAAAATGTGGTCGACAGTCACGTGCATCCGGGAATTTTCTCAGCTGGGAATGTCCTGGAAGAAGCACCTGAAGTGGTTAGTGAGTGAATGAATCCGTGCATGAGTTTTGAGTTTTGTCTCAAAACATAGTTTAACTGCAAAAGTATGTTTTATTTTAATTGATTCTAATTTAATTCAATTTGAAATATGTAATAATTAGTGGGTAATGAATATGTGCATGCTGTCTATGCATCACACTTGACATTTTGTCTTTGCAGTGTATGTTTGAGGCAAGGGCTCAGTGATATATTGAATGTTTGTAATATATTTGCATTGATTATGCTGGCAATATGATGATTTTAATGCATGCTTTATTTTATATAATTTTTTTTTATTTTGCTTTATTTTGAAATGGACAGTAATTTGTCTCCGCAAATGTTTTATTTTAATGTATTACAATTTCATTTCATTTCATTTGAAATGTATAGCAATTAGTGAGTAATGAATCCATGCATTCATTTTTAGATGCTGCGTTTGCATTATGCTTGCTATTTGAGTTTGCAGTGTATATTTGAGGCAATACTAGGTCTCAATGATATTGAATATTTATAAAACTAAATTTTGCAATGATTATGCTAGCAGTATCATGGTTTTAATGCATGTTTTATTTTAATTCAATACGGACAGTTTAACTTAACTATCCGTGCAACCTTTTTTTTATATACATGTTCTCTACTCTTGCCATTTGTCTCGGCAATGTATATTTGAGGCCAATACTAAGGCTCAGTGATATAGTGAACATTTATAATACATTTGCAGTGGTTATGCTAGCAATATCATGATTTGAATGCATGTTTGTATTTCATTTTGAATTAATATTTAAAATGAAACGTACTGTATAGTAATGATTGACTAAGGAATGCATGCTGCAGTTGCATTAATGGCACTGCATGCTATTTGTCTTTGCAATATATATTGAGGCAATACTATGGCTCATTTATATATGGAATGTTTATAATACATTTGCAGTTAATATGCTAACAATGTCATGATTTAAATGCATGTTTTTAGCCATTAATTTAAAAACTGCCTTTTAACTCCCTTTTATTCACTCTGCTTGTCTCTAGAGTGCATTATGCATTATGTGAACAAATGTTTGTGTTTTACAGAAATTCACAAATGCATCTTTCCTCATTTCAAACACACGTCCTCTCTCTCCTGCAGACCATGATGACCCGTTCTTGATCACTTCAATATGCACTCAAACAAAGCCTCGTGCTAGCAGCAGGGCTTGGTCTGGACAAGGCGTCTTTGCTGAAATCCGAGTGGAAATATGCCCTGGATATGACAATGATTTAGCACTTTATTGAGGAGACGAGACAGGCAAACTTTTTGCGGTCGAGGGGAAAGTATCACATGTGGAGCTCTAACAAAACCACAGAGAATCTGACCTCTGAACACAACTAAGCCATTCTTTTCCATATGCTATACAGTAATAATAACACTAGGAAATTGATTTTCCTGACAGTTAAGACTGGATTATGGGTCATTAGATGTATTCTACAAAAGAATGAACAGTTATGGTAAAATGTCAAATGGTTTAAAGAAAGTGTTTTATTTCCATTCAAACAATGAACTGGACAAATTATTGAAGGTACAATTAAAGGACTTGGCCACTATTAAATCAGGGTTAATATTCATAATGCTGTTAAATAGGGTTATGTGTAACTTAATTCAGTTATGAATTGTTTCACTTTTTGACCAGTGAATTTTCATGGCTTTTCCAGATGTTCCTCATTATTGGTTAATGTGTTAAGCAAACTTCATAATATAGGGACTGGTTGTAATTCATTAGTGTGAATTTGAACTGAATGGGCCACGTCACACAGACCCAACTATCCATCATGAAAGCCTGCTTCATGTTGGTCTATTGTATGTATGTACATGTATGCATTTATTTATTATTTTTTTATTTAACTAACTTTTATTTATTTAACCTTTACTTTAAATACATTTTTATTAAACGTTTATTTACTCATTCAGTTTACTTTCATTTATATTACTGTATTTGTTAATTTTTATTTATTTAACTTTTTCATTAATTAGATTTTTTTGCAACTTTATTTTAATTTAATACTTATTCTAAATTTAATGTAAAATGTATAGTAATCAATTGCAATTTTCCGTAACAAGTGTTTTGTTTAACTGATAATTTAAAATCCAATTCTTAATTCAAATCTGAGCGAATGGCACACAACCCTCCTGGATAACTATTTTTAAAAATGTGTTTTAGAGATTGGATGAATTAGTTCAGAGCTGGGAATAACTATCACCATATTCTCATTTGTTGAGATAGTGAATTGGTGGGTTTTTGTTAAATGTGAGCCAAAATCATCACAATTAAAAGAACCAAAGACTTAAACTACTTCAGTCTGTGTGCATTGAATTTATTTAATACACGAGTTTCACAATTTGAGTTGAATTACTGAAATAAATGAACTTTTCCACGACATTCTAATTTATTGAGATGCACCTGTATACTACAGAAAATGTGTAATTCAACTAATACTTTTGTGCATCTTTTACAGTACACTAATTGCTGGGACTGCAACGAACAATGAGGACCAGTGACTTTTGAATGATTTGCAGATGCATGGAAGTCAAGTGACTGTACCTGACGGATCATCATCCTCTGTGAGATCTTCCTCCTCACCTTCTTTGTACATGTCGACCTCTGCAAGTGAATATATGTGCTGCTGTTAGTTTGGTTTGAGCTACAGAAGATTTAAAACACTGTATTTGCATTGCATTGTATTTACATTGCACATTTTGCATTGCATTGCATGTGTTTGTCCAGGCTTTGATGTTTTTTCCAGATAGATCAATCAGTCCAATAATACAAAGAATAGTAGTTGCTCATGTTTAGGGCAGGATTGTCTATTTGCCTGAATGTACTATGACTAGTGAAAGAGCAAGCTTCAGATATTCACCTTCATTGTTGGCACATGCACCCAGACCGCTGCTGTCCACACTGCTGTCCAGATCCTCTGACAGAAGCGAGCTGTTCGCTGAGAGAACGGGAGGGAGAACCGGCATATTCTCCGAACATGACTGTTCACCCTCCTCAACAGTCTCGACTGACATGGCCTCTGAAACACACACAGGTAATCAATACAGTAACTCTCCTTATGCATAATGCACTGA